TCTCTCCTTAGATTGAACCCCCCCCCCCCCCACCCCAACACAACCACACACAAAAAAAAACAAAAAAAAATAAAAAAAGAAAAAGCTAGCATGTAGTGGTTGTGTATTATCATTGAGATCTATATTCATAGAGTTGCTTATTCAAAAAGTAAAGGGAAGAAATCCGAATTGGGAAAAAATAGAGCAATATTAGATAATCATTACGAATTAATCCATCAGCAAGCCAATTCCCAAGTAGATATAATAGAAAAAAAAAGAAAGAAGCTAGCATGTAGTGGTTGTGTATTATCCAGTGTTATCAAGACCGAACCGGTTGGCGGTTAAAACCGATAAACTGGACCCTAACCAATCAAGTTCAGCTATTAGATCACCTGTATAACTAAACCATTAAAAAAATAGTGACTTGGACGGTTTTAGAGACTCAGGTGGTTCGATTTTATGTGGAATAAAAAGCCTATTTTTGGGAAAGTTTGACCTAAATTGATCTCTTCTCCAATTTCTCTCATGGTCTCACTCTCACGGACGATGTGCCACTAGACCAACTCTATCCCACCCTTCTCCTGGTAAGCCCTCTCTCTCTCTCTCAAATGCACTCATTGTGCAACACACCCACTCGATCTCTCTCATTTCGAATTACCGCACACCATGCTCCATCTCTCTAACAGAAGCACTTCCGAGGCATGACGCCACCCACCCACCCTACCACACACTTTTCTCACAGATGCACTCCAACTGCCAGACCCCCATTCACCCAATCGCACTCTGACCCCCACACATACCCACTCACACTCACTCACACACACCAAATCGAGTGTGATTTTATCTATTGTGCAAATCATGTGTGATATTATCTAATTTATGTTTTTTCTATGCTTTATCAATTTGTCTAATTTATGTTTTTTTATGCTTAATACTTTATCAATTTGTCTAATTTATAGTTGTTTACGCTTTATACAACTTATGATTTCATCTAAATTGTGTGCATTGTGGACATGTTTCATATTTTTTTAGCTAAATTATTATGTTTTATAAATTTTTTATTTTTTTTATAATATGAGGGGCCTGATCAATTGACCCAATGGTTGAATAAGTGACCCATTTTTCTTTTTTATTATACTATAGCTAAATTATAGTATTATTATTGAGATCTATATTCATAAGTTGCCTATTAAAAAGAAACAGAAAAAATTCCAAATTGTGATAAAAATAGAGCAATATTAGGTAATCATCACAATTTACTTCATCAACAAGCCAATTCTCAAGTGAAAAAAAAAAAAAAAAAAAAGAGGTTCTTGCATGTACTTTTCATTTTTACAAGAAAAAGGAAACAAAGGAAAGAAAAGGGTAATTATAGATGTTCAAAACGTCAGCCTGAAACACCCTCTAGAACTTATAGAAATCATAATATTAAGATTAAAAAAGTATCATAAGGTATAGGACATTGTACATAAATCATGTGAAGAGGCAATATAAGACACAAGAAAAACCATCAAATGATGCTTTCATGTTAGTGTGACTGATTTTTTTAAATAGCTAAAAAAAGTGATAAGTATGTATACCACAGTTTGTCAATATGCAAACTTAGTTAGGCAATTGAACCCAACCTATGAACTGGTTGGATTGTCAGCCAAGCAGAATTGCACTCAATAAATCTGTATATATAATGTCATTTTAGTTAGCTGGTCAACTCTGAAATGATTAACCAGGACTGCATTCACAATAAGAACAAAGGCAATATAGTTTTCCCTCACTACCCTGACCGGCCCACAAATACACACTTAAGGCTAAACATTCATTTCTCAGTTGAATAAACTCTATCCTTATCAGTTTTCTCATTCAATCACATGACAAAAATATTTGATTTGCACTACTTTTCCATTCGTCACCTTTTTAAAAAATGTATCTCAATTCGAATGTCAGTCTTGCATAATAACAAGAAGAAGCCCACCTAGAAGCACCGTAAGAAAAGAGTAAAGTATTCTGGTTTGCAAACCATCCAATCATGAAAACATGTTTAGCAACAGAAATTAAGTCCAACACAAACAATATTAGTATAGTTTCAGCGGTTTGGGCTAGGGTTTAAGAGAGGATGCATACCCCAAGCAACAGTGCACTCCTCGCTGGTCGCACTTGCCTGATTAGCTTGGCACTCAATGCCTAATCGAACCAATTAACACATTAAATTCATCAAATAAGATAACAGGGACAAAAGGTAGAAAATAGATAGAATATCATATATAACGAAGCATTCAGACCAAAAAGAAATAAATAAATAGCAAAGAATTAGAAACGCTCACAGAGATCCATGATATGATTCCTGCAAATTGCACAATTGTCCACAACAATATCTGCGCGGAATAGATCCACAGTTCGCATCCAATTACATGCGAAAACAACAAAACAGTATGAACTACAAACTCATAAGAGAAACACAGATCATATGCACACAACCACTATAGTATGTGCGTGTGTGTCTCGGTGAAGATTACGGCTAGCACTAGTGAAAGCGCACCCCAAGCCCAAAGAGAGACGGCATTCCACTTTTTAATTTCGAAACGCTTAGGTTTCTTGGTAGAGGAAGAAGAAGACGGTGCGGAGGCGCCGGATCCTTCGCCGGCGGGAACCATGGTGATGTCGGTGTCCATTGTCAGTAATGGAAAGACGTTGATCGGATTTTCTTGGGTTGTAGTTTGGCCTCCGATGTGCGTTCAGAGAAAGAGAGAGCACCGAAACATTTAGTAAAGAGAACCACAGAATCCCATCTCTAGTCACCGAAACATTTTTGTTATTCGGGATATTGACATCAATTTATTTATACAATGATGCGATAATAATATAATTCAATAGTGTTAACGTGACAATAATTTATATAATAAAATAGAGTAGAGTTTCAATTTTAGAGATAAAAGAAGTTCAGATTATTTTGAGACAAAATATAAATACATTTAACAAATAACGTAATTTTAATATAAAAGACGGTTCAGATCATCTCATAAATATTAATCCTACGGTTTACAATAAGTACTAAATTTTATTTTTCTAACCCAACAACATTTCCTTTTTTAATTATAATTATCCAGACTTTTAACTTTCCCCAAATTTCTCTTCCTCATTCCTTTATCGCCACCTATCAAAGCCAATTCCTCCCGCCTCTCTCTCTCCTCCGAAATCTTTCATGCCTTTTTTTCTTCCAAAATTTCTCACATCTTTCCCAATCTCTATCTTTCATATCTTCTTTACAAATCAAGTCTCTAATCAAACTTTCTTTAAATCTTTCAAATTAAAAAAAGGCTTAATTACAATCTCATATCTCCTTTAAATTTGATCTCTCTCCCAAATTGAACTTTGCCCTCTAATCTCCTCCGTCTCTCTCTCACTCCCTTGCTTAACCCCTCTCTCTCTCTACCACCAACGAACAACACCATTGCCACAACCATAGCCACCTCTTCTTCGTTAGTTAGAGCATTCAATGATGAACCACTAGCTAGACCCACCGAAGCCATCGAGGTACTCTCTGTCTCCCTCTTTCTTTGTTTCTCTATCTTCTTCCCCAGCTCTTTGTTCCCCTCTGTCTATGCTTCCAGCCCCACCCACCTCCACGCCATCGACTCCATCCCCACCTATGCCGCCACTCAAGATCTCCGACACCATAGCCCCCCTATATCTCTGTCACACACACTTACCATTCATCATAGACACCACGTATTCAACAAAATTCTTTAAAGACCACCATAAAACTCTTTTTGGCCTGCTTTCATGCTCACCATGAAACCTAGGGCCAAATGACACCACCCACCGAACATTGTCCAGCCCCTCGACCATGGCCACCCATCAACCATCAATAAAACCATGGGCATAGCCCCCTCAATCATATCCTTACTTTCCACATTAATTAATTTTGTCTTAATGAAGTGTGAGCATCATTAGATTTTGTTGGTAACTTTTTTGGTTTTTTGTATAGGGATCTAACACTGGTATCGACCATCAAGGATTACACAATCTAATCAATTCATTATGATTGATTTCTCCCTCAATTTTGTTTTGTTTTGTTTTCTTTCTAATTTTTTTTGATTTTCTAAACTTTTTGTTCAATGGCTAATGTTTTATTTTGGTGGAATTAGGTAGTTCAATGACAGTGGTTTGATTTGATTTGGTTGATCAAATTTGGTCTCATTTGGCTAATTTTTCTTACATTTTTTGATCTTTAGGTTAATGTTATTTTTTTTTTGGTCGAATTGGTGGATTGAGTGGTGTGATGCAATTGTGGTTACAAAGGGTTTGTGAAAATGTTGGCAGTGTGAGAGGAAGATGAGGAAAAAAAGTGGCATTTTTTGCCACCGGAAATTTTTTGATTTTGGTGTATGAAATTTCAATGTTTTCACACAAGTTTATATAAGAACTTTTGAGTTTGATTCATTTGAGTCTCATGGTGTTTATTTATAATTTCATTTACTTGAAATGTTGACTGGTTGACCATCTACAAACCAAAAAGTCCAAACTTAACAAATAACTTGAATTAAACTGAAGTAAACTAGAGGCTGCATTTGGAAACATCATTTAGGAAAATAAAATTTCTTAAAATTTAATTTAAAAATTCTGTAGAAGGGTTGGAATAACAATAGTGATGGTGATAGGTTTAGATTCTATGATGGTTTTGGGTTGAAGAGTTGAAAGGTTAAATAGAGGTAAATTTAGTTCATCGGTTTCATATCCGATAATAATTGCTCATTCATTTTTTTTTGCCCGTTATCTTATTTTTTTTTTAGCAGTATTTAATCTTGTAGTTGACATATCTTCGTTTTCATTGGTGACCAAAATAGAGGTTGAAAGTGAGTAAGTTGATCTACACATGCGTAAAGGAGAAAATGAGAAAGTGTTGATATTGAGGAAAACTAGTTGCCGATGGTGGGTACATTATGAGCAAATCAAAGCTGTCTTTGGTTGCAATATATATGGAGATATTTTTAGGGAGAAAATTTCACATTTATGTTGGATAAGGAAGGCGATATTTTCTAATTGTGCATAAATTTCAACTACCAATGAAGGAGAACCAAGACTCCTTAAATTATGCAATATTCAACAGTGAAGGAAGGGTAGATCACCTTACACACTTGACTTTTATTTCAATTGCAAACACTCTTAAAATATGAAAGTTGCACACTTCAAAGATAAATATTGCAATATTGTGGCAAAAAATGAACGGATTTGGTTGTGACCAGATCCCACTCTAAAAATGTTTTCTTTTTATTTTTTGAAGCCTTTGTATATTAGACCGAAAAAGGGGTGAGACACCAAATTTCCCCTAACTAGTACTTCAGAAATAATTTATTTTATAATATTGGCATGAATCATATTTCAAATGCAAGAGATCAACATGGATATTATTTATGAAAGAGTTTTATTTGTATTTTTTTTTTGTTATTAGCTTAAAAGAAATTTTGTGGGCATTTTTGTCTAACGGCTAATAATAACACCCTAAATTTAATAGGAAAAATAGGTACGTAAGGGTGTGTTTGTAGTGACTTTTTAAAAGTACTTTTAAAAATTATTTCCCGTAAATACTTAAAAAAAAAAATAGTGTTTGAAATCGTCTAACCATTATTTCTACCCCCCACCGCCACCGCCGCCGCCACTACCACCACCGCCAATGCCATTGTCACCGCCACCCTGGTCATTGCTATCCACCACAACCATCACCATTTCCTACCAGCACTGTTGTCGCCCTCCACCTTTCACCCCCACTATAAATCGATACTTAAATTTTTTTATTTTTTTTCTATGTTTATGATTTAATTTTGGATATAAATCATAAATATATTTATTATTTATCATTTTTTATTATTCTGTGCCTTTAGACACGTATAATAACTAGTATATATATATATTATATTTATTATCGTAAAGGTCATGACATATAAGAATGAGACACATAACTCAAGTTTGAGCCACTCAATTTGATTGTAATTTAATGTGTCCACTTATGGTCAAATTGGGATGGCAATTAGTGTCACATCAGCCTAAACTACGGTCCTCCCAAATATAAAAGGAAATATTGTTTTAGGTATTCTTTCATGAAGTGGAGGCTTTACCCGTATGGGTTTCAGACCTCATCAATCATGGTAAACGCTCATGGAACTTGGAATTCCTTCAAACACTCTTTAGTGAACAAACAATTGAAGCAATTACGAAGATTAATCTGTCCCCATTTCAAGCAGAAGACTATATGGTCTGGATTCCAACATCTTCTAGAATTTTCACTACAAAATCTGCCTTTGTCAAGCTAAGAGGAAACTTTGGATGAAGAAAGAGACTAGCTCACTAAATTAGATTGGACCAAATGCTGAAGCACCCCTCTACATGAAAGACAGAAAATGATTATGTGGAGAGTTGCCACAAAGAGCCTCCCAATAAAGAACATTCTTGCAAGCAGATTCTCAATTGTTGATGCATTTTATCCACTCTGTCAACATGCAGTTGAAACGATTTTTTTACTGTCTTATAACCCAATCAATCTGGTTTTTGAAATGGGGCTTCCGTACAGAGTCTTTCACCCACTTTAGCATTCAAGATTGGATTCATAATAGGTTAAACCCCACTCTTTCCTTTGGATACTGTAGCCCTTGGCAATACAAATTCCTTTTAGTTTGTAGCGTTAGTTATCACAATCATACGGAAGTGGCGAAAAAGAGTGCTTTTTGGCGGGGCAAAACTAGACCTAATACAAGTTATTAATGAAACTATGCAGGTTTTTGTTGAATTCCAGCAAGCAAGATTCAATATCCCAAAGAATAATGGACTTTCAGAAAGACACATTTCTGAATGTTGCTGGTCTAGACCAATTGAGGGAGGGATCAAAGTCAATTTTGATGCATGTATGGGGAAAAATGGTTCCTGTCTGGCAGCTATAACAAGAAATGAATTTGGAGAAGTGCTAGAAGTGATAGTGACGCAAGAAAATGAGGAAGATCCTACTATTGCTGAAGCACTAGCAGCAAGAAATGTAGCTCTATGGGTACAATCCAAGGATGTCCTTGGGGCTATGTTACGCTGATTGGGTCATGATATACTCATACAGAGAGACCAACAAGGCTGCACATACTCTTAACAAAATGGGGGATGTCCATGTAGTACAAAAGGTTCCTAAACACAGAAGATTTGCCTCAACTGGTTAGACAACGTGATATCCGATAAGGTTGCCCTGGTCTCTTCAAGGAGTAGTATAGAACTACTAGTATAGTATTTAGTATTATGTTGGTTTAACACATCACATCACGGTGTTTAGTGGTTATATATTATATATTCTCAATGAATTAGTGTTATCTATTAATTTTTCATTTTTTTTTTCTAAAAAAGTTAATTTGTATGTCCCACAAATTAATTTTGTGGTAACCTATCATCCAGTGTAATCACCCCATATAACAGTGTGTGAGTCCCACTTGAAGGGTTAAACTCACAAAATTTTCTCCCATAAATTTGCACCATGTTGCAATTGAACAAGGTAAACACACCCATCACATCCCTATCCTCCCAAACGAGAAAATCCCTGTCCCACACCATTTTGTACATACTTCAACATGATCGAACTTCTTCACCCTCTCAACCCCTCCCACCACCCAAAAAAATGTTAAGTAATCTAAATGAAACTCAAAAATTAAAAATTTAAAAGTGTGAGTAGAGTGAGTGCCACTGAAAAAATTGATGAGATCCACTCATCCAAAGAAGAATATATATTTGAGTTACAACTTTTTGAATTTCATATCATTTGTACTCTAAATTTGATCCTAAAATTTAGTCAGTGTAACATTACTCTTTTATTTAATTTTTGTAGGATTACTCTTTTTTTAATGATAGATTATAACATCAAACCATCTTTTATGCAGGAAACCTTTTCCAATAAAATGTGGCACCACTTCATCCATGACTGTGACCCCAGAGCGATGGGTTGCGTAGATCATTATTGCAGTATTATTAGTTGAGATATTAAATATGGTGTTTTAAATGTAGCCACCAAATGCCATGAGGCCCATGACGATGGAAGACAATACACTGTTCCTTCTGTAAGTAATACCATGTGGATCTTAATAAACTAAAGCAAAAGTTGCCCTGGCTTTATAATATGGTCAACTCTCCTCTTATCTCAGTTTCATTCTCTTCCCCCCATAATCCTCCCAACCACCACCATCACCTCTCATGGCTTCAGATCAAAATACCCTCAACAAACACCAGTCCCACACCAATAAGACCACCGTCTTTGGGTGGTCCAGCCGCCGGAGAACACCATTACGTAGGCGGAGACCGCCATCGATGCGGCTGGGAGGAAAGAAAACCCGCCGAGGACTCTTCTTGGTGAGACTTTTCAGGCGAGTCCGACTGCGATGGTTAAAGCTCAAGTACTCGTGCATGCTCAAGAAGCTCAAGGACTACTATCATTCTTTGGTGAAAGATATCATTGAAGGCGGTGCGACCATCGAGTCGTATCAACAGAGACTTTTTCTGGAGACTTCTTTCGCCATACCCGTCATGGGTCTGTCCTTCAGTAGTATTCCAACCAGCTACGGTTTAGACCGCCCCTGACGCATCCTCCAGTTAAAAATAATTACTCGCTCTCTCTCTCTATCTCTCCTGTTTCTGTTTGTGTTTGTGTAACACTGAATATGTGTGATTGTGAAATACAAAATAGCAAATAAGTTTACATTTTCTACCTTAACCAGCTGCTGTGTGATGTATGCTTTGAAAGGGTGGATACAACATAAATCCTAGTCGTTTCATGAAAAATTCACCAGCAATTCTGTGTTTGGAGAGAGAAAAACGTGCTAAGTTAATTGAAG